CTTGGTCCAGCGCCACCCTGAGCCCACAGTGGGTGGTGGAGGCAAGGGGCGACCGACAGCTGCCGTTAAGCAGCTGGCTTCCCTCCGAGCCTCAGCCAGGTGCTTGGCTGGCCGCCTGTGATCCGTCCCTCAGGTCGTCTGAGCAGGTGTCCGATGGGGCAGGTGTGAATCATAACGGATCGGGCTTCCCCTGACCGAGACAGCAATGGAGCATCGCTGACGAGGCAGCAGGTCTCATTAGTAATTCTTGAAAGGGTTCAGGGGCAGGACCGAAGAGCTGGCTAACTGAATGGTAGCTAATTCATTTATAATTATTCGTATTCTTTTTCTTCGTGTCCTGAAGTCTAATCCTTTGGAGCTGGACCAGGGCTTAGATCTAAAGAGGCCGAACAGCGCTTGAGTCAAGAGCAACATTTGAGCCTTGACTCTGTTTTTTAGCGGTGTCAAGCTCCCTCACTTCTGGGCCTCAGCTCTCCTATCTGTGAAATGGGTTTTCGTGAGGAGTAAATGAGGTGCTTTTTGTAAAACCTAAATCGTAATGCGTAGCCCATAGTCAGCATGCAGTGAGCTAGCTCTTGTGACCCAGTCCTGTTCTCTCTTTTATAGACCCCCTTATGTATTCAGCAGGTGTCTGTTAGCCAGCATCAGCACTATATAGCACAGCTCCTTCGAAAGTGGTGAATGAAAGTATTCAAACAAGTGTATGGTCATCATTCAAACAGCACAGCACAGAGCTGGCCACATCCTTTCATAGGGAAAGAAGGAGAAGCAGAGGGAAGGCTCGAGAGGCAGGGGGTGGGAGTCCGAGTTTCTGGGTCCACAGTCCAGTGAATGTCTGAGTAAGTGGAAGCATGGGCCACGCGACCCTGGGAGAAAGGCAGTGCAGGCTGGGGGACTGGCAGGGTGCTCGCAGGTCCTGAGGTGGGACTTTGTGCCACAGTTCCCGGAGGAGCAAGGAGGCCCACGTAGCCAGGCAGGGAGCATAGGTGGGCCTGTGCTGGAGAGGTGTCCAGACCTGCCTGATGCTGGGAGGAGGGGCTTTAGGCTGTGTTAAGCTGCCGAGAGGGCAGTGATGTTGTGAATGGAGGTTTACGAGGAAACAGCTCGCAGATGTCAAAGCCTGTAAGCAGCCTATCAGCGGCCCCAAAAGTGCGGCCAGAGCAAGGCCAGCCGGTCCTCTCATGTGAGCATCCATCACTGGGTCTTGTCTCCAACTGTTGTTACCGTGGTGTTTGCTAAATGGTGACTTTCTGTTTCCTACATCTCTTCTCTGTTTAATCATTGAAATTCTTCTAGAAGGAAAAACTTCCCTTCTTCCCCATTTACTTATTTTTCCAATGATTTATGATGCCAGTATGGACTCACAGATATTTATTGAATTCTCTGGGTTATAGCCCAAAACTATCATTATTTTGTTGCTTAAAGTGTCATAGCTTTGGCCTTTGGGGAGTTCCTTCGGCTTGACTCCTGTGTCCTTCTGACCTACCCCCAACATATTCTGAGCACTTCTTTACTCTCTGGCAACACAAGACACTCCCGGTTGATCTTGAATTTCCCCCTGGAGTTAATCATGTCTCCAAGGAGCCTTCGTTCCCTTTATTGGACAATGGTATTTAGAAACCAAGATCTGGGGCTGGGTGTGCTCATTTCCTCCTGGAGTTTATTGCTTCTCGTCTTTCTTAGCAGATGGAACTAGGAAATGCATGTATGCTGACCCATGCACACACCAGACCAGTATTTCTCTCTCTTGGGGCACCTGGGTGCCCCATTCGGTTAAGCATCTGCCATCAGCTGAGGTCACGATCCCGGGGTCCTGGGACTGAGCCCTGCCTGAGTCAGGCTCTCTGCTCAGCAGGGAGTCTGCTTCTCCCTCTCCCCACTGCTTGTGCTCTCTTGTGCGCTGTTCTCTCTCTCTCTCTCAAATAAATAAAATCTTTTTTAAAAATTCTATAAATATTTGTCTCTCTCTCTTATCTAGCTGTATGTCTTTCTGCCTATTTATCTGTCTGTCTGTCCGTCTTTACACATCTTGACTTCATACTGATGCCTTTACTTCCAGTACAAAGCCTCAGGGATCAGTTAGCCTTTCCACCTTCCTTATTTCTAAGTTCTTCCTTGGGAGCAAAAGACCTCACAGTTATTATTTGCAGTATATTTACTTATTTGCTCAGTGCTAGTACACACAAAGGTAGTTTCAGAACTGCTAATCCATACCCCTGTGACAGGTAAAAGTAAAGTGCCCTATTTGTGTACAATTCTTTTTCCTTAGCCTTATAGAATCCAGGCAAAATAATGGTTCCCTGAGTTACTTAGGCTGGTTCTGTTCTTCCCGACAACCTTCAGCGTGGTAGGCTTACGCATCTGTAATCCAGTCATGCTCACTTTTGCTGTTTCTGTCCTATTTTGAGTGTCTGCCCACATACATGCATGCGGATGATTTTAATGGTTCACTGTTTAGGTATGTGAAATATTGGGCTTCTAAGAGTCAGAGCTGTAGAGACTCATCCCGGGTGCCTCATTCTAGTCTCATTTCCCCGTTCTTTCCACCCCTGTCCCACCCGCCCCCTGCACATAACCAGGGTTTGTCCTTCCCATGTTTCTTATGCACAGATGAACCAATCCGTGTAGTTGTTCTTATATCCGTCTCTTTTGCCCATACAGAGGGTTAAAATACTATAAATACTCTTCTGCACTTTGCTTTTTCCCCCCCAACATAACAGTGTATCCTGGAGATCATTTCATATCACTTCATAGAGATCTTCCATAATGAGCTTTTTTAACTTTGGCGATCGTAAAATGATGAGCAGCCCAAGAAGTAATTTTAAAATTCTATAATTAATGGTGATGACGATTATAAATAGCATAAGCATTACCATTAATTGAGCACCTGCTGTGTACCACGGTCTGTGCTAATATGCATTTTGGATAGATTATCTCATCACATCCTTCCCAGGGCTCCGGGAGGTAGATGTTACCTCCAGTTTACTGATGAGGAAACTGAGACTCACTAATATTTAGAATCTTGCCCAAGTTCATAAAAAGTAGGGCCACAGTTTGAACCCAGCCGCTGTCTCCCAAGTTTTTGCTTTTGAAGAGCTCACCAGCACCATTACAGAAGTCCTGGGTCAAAACAAAGTGATGGGAGTTTTTAAAACCTGGGCACGTCCCAGACCTTAAAACCTTGTTGATTGTGGATCGTGCTGCTAAAGTTTGGCATGTTCCCGATGACAGGAACATGAAGATAATTTACTGCCTGTTTGTTCCCAAGAAACGGCCCTTCCTTCTTGAGGACCACGGGTCCTGCGTCTAAGGCAGGAGAGGAGAGGATGCTAGTCGGGGCCCACTCTCTGGGATGCAGCCATAGATCTCATCTTATACCTCGTAATCACAAGCCAGAGCAGCCAGCACTGTTCCCGGGAAAGTCCGTGACCCCACAGGGCTGTTTGGTTAGTAGGACACTCCATCAAGGCCGAGTTACAGCAGTTTTTGTTCAAACTGTTTGTACAGCAGGAGCGGAAGAAGAATCTCTTTGAGCCGGAGTCTGGCTTCTGTCGTGAGAAGCCACAGACTGGCAGAGAGGCAACACAGTTGAGCTGGTTGAGAGCGTGGCTTCTGAAATCTAATGCCGGGGCCTCACCCCTGGGTCGCATTTTCTAACTGTGTGGCTTTAGGAAAGTCCCTTTACGCCTCAAAGCACACCTGTGCCACGGGGATGAGAACCATGTCCATCCTTGTCAGTGGTCCCCACGACTGTCCCCAGGCTCAGGGGTTTGCTGGGAGGATTCCAGGAATGTGGCGTGTAGTCACATGAAGGATGCAAAGCAAAGTCAGCAAAGGGAAAAGGCAAAAGGAGAGAAGCCCAGAGGAAGCCAGGTTCAGATTTCAAAAGTCCTCTCCCAGAGAGGTGGTACAGGACACAGCTAATTCCCCAGCAATAAGTCGCGACAGCGGGAGAGAAGTGCTTTCTCCTGGGGAAGCTCCTTGCAGTCTCCGTGCCTGGGGTTCTGACCGGGGGCTGGTTACGCAGGCTCATTACGCAGGTGCTATGTGCCCAGCATCTACGCAATCCCAAGCTCCCAGGAGAAAAGCAGGTGTTCAGCATCAACTGCACCGTTCCCATAAAGAGCTGAGGCACGGGGAGCCATTCTTAGGGGAGACTGGTGCGAGCCCTCCCGAAGTCCAAGTTCCCGGAAGCCAGCCACGTGGGGGCCGGCCTTGCAGGCAAGCAAGGCTCTCTAAGGGTCGCCATCTCAGGGCTGGTGTTCATCCTTTTCTGCACACCATGCCACTGGGTGGTTGCTGACTGGATTGAATAGGAGAATCCACAGAAAGCGCTGGCCATGCTGCCTAGAGTGGGAAGCCTTCTGTGCTTATTGCACAGAAAGGGGGCCTGGGTGGCTCAGTGGGTTAAGCCTCTGCCTTCGACTCTGGTCATGATCTCAGGGTCCTGGGATCAAGACCCGCATCAGGCTCTCTGCTCAGCAGGGAGCCCGCTTCCCCCTTTCTCTCTGCCTGCCTCTCTGACTACTTGTGATCTCTCTCTCTGCCTGCCACTCTGCCTACTTGTAATCTCTCTGTTAAATAAATAAATAAAAATCTTTAAAGATTTATTAAAAAAAAATAAGCGCAGACAAGGGCTTTGACCGTCAGGGAAGGAATTGTGAAGGGTTCCTCAGCACCATAAGCGTAGGGCGTGTCCATCCCCCATCTGCTCACCCATTCATTCATTGGTGCCCCACATTAGGGTTGAGCCCCACTTTGTGCAGGGGCCCTGGAAATACCGCGGACACAGCCACCCCCTTCCTTGAGGGTGCTGCGTGAGGGCTCTCAGCCTGGCTTGGTGCTGACCGTGGGTGGGGGATGGTAGGAGATCTTGGGGGACTTCCGTAATAACGTGAAGAGACCCTTTTGCGCGCTCAGAGCCGGCAGGATGGGTATGCCAGGGCTCAGAAAGCATAACTTCCTCACCGCGGCTGTTTGTCTCGTTTTGCCTCCTACAGCCAAGGCTAAGTCCAAATGCGGCCCGACGTTCTTCCCTTGCGCCAGCGGCGTTCACTGCATCATCGGCCGCTTCCAGTGCAATGGGTTCGAGGACTGTCCCGACGGCAGCGACGAGGAGAACTGCAGTAAGTACCAGGAGTGCCTGGCCCCTCCCTTGTTCCTTGTGATGGGCCCTGCTCCCCGCTCCTCCCTCTTGTGGGCTCGGGCATCTTCTCTCCTTACCTGGACCCAGCAAGACTGTTGAATGCTTGGGAAAAAAACCCACCTTAGCTGGAGAATGTAGGTCACTAAGAGGGTAGCAGCTTGACTGAGCAAAATGACTCTGGAGCCGGAAAGCCTGGCCCGAGGTTTGTGTTCTGCCCTGATTAAGCTGGGTTGGCTCTGCTTTATAATGTCCTTGCACAGTGGTTTCCTCGTCTCTTGAAATGGGGACGCCAAGAGCCTGCTTGCTTCCTGGGTCATTGTGGCAATTAGACGAGGCAATACCTGAAAAGTGTTCAATGTGGTGCCTGGCAAGGGGTAATTGATTTTGAAAACCCCTAGTGACTTAAAACAAAGCTGTGAGTCATAAAGAGGAAGACCCTATTTACTGGCATTCCACCTTTCGTTTAGGATGTCCAAGGATGTACTTGTTCTGTATTTCACTAAGTCCTTTGGTAAGTGTGTATCAGCTTGATCTCCGCTTCCTACTGTCCATGGGGATCTCAGAGTCTACGGGGGGAATTTTATATATACATGTATTCCCATGTACATACTAGAGAGTAATTCGATGGCAATAAAAAGCAAGTGTTACATTCTAGAATATATATTCTAACTGATTGTGCTATCCTACATATTCCCTGTCGTATTAAAGACTGCGTATGATTTAAATGTTTGGATATTGGTTTTTAATTGTCTAAACGACTTAATTATATCCATTCCAAATTCAACTCAGGGGATTAAACTAGCATTTCCCTCTGGCATATCTACCATCTAAAAATAGTGGATTCTAATTCACTGTCTTGAAACGGGTCAGTGAAGGAGAATCCAGCATTTACCCTCTTTTTTCTCCATGCGTTCCCCTTCTGAGTAATTAAATAGCCACCAGACAGGAAAGATTTTGGGGGTTTTTTTTTTAACTGAAGAATACCAACTAACGTGGAAGAATGAGAGAATTAGAGTATCTGTTTTGTAACTTTGGTGAAGAAATGGATCGTCCGTGGCTCATGAAAACATTAGACAACAAACAGTTGGGATACTTTCTAGGGAGTGGGTGGGGCTGACCACGCCTGGGACCTGCCATCCGTGTCTTCACAGACAGCTCTGGATCAACCCTGTACTACTTCAAGTAGAATGTGGAAAACCCTTTCCCTCCATAAATCTCTTTACATTCTGATCGTCTGAGAGCGTACATCTCCATACATTCAGAACCCAAAAAAGGCAATGTTTTCATTTTTGCTTTGAAGTCTCAAGTGCATTTTGAGGAACTCCAGCGGAAAAGAACAGTCTGTTACTCTGTTTACCCAGAGACTTGCCATTTTCGTTGCTCTTCCTTCATTCCTGATGTTCCAGCTCTCCTTCTGGTATCCTTTCCCTTCTGGCTGAAGTATTTCCTTTAGCCGTTCTTTTGAAGCAGGTCTGCTGGCAACACATCCTCTTAGTTTCCCTTCATCTGACCCTGTCTCGATTTCACCTTCATTCCTGAAGGATATTTTTACTGCATATAGAATTCTGGGTTGACAGTTCTTTTTAAAAGCACTTTAAAAATGCTGTTTCACTTCCTCTGGCTTTCGTGGTTTCCAATGAGAAATTTGCAGTCATTCAAATGGTTTCCCCATAGAAAATGCATCATTTTTCTGGCTGCTTTGAAGTTTTTTTTTTTTTTTTCCTCCTAGTCTAGCTCTCAGCAGCTAAGATGATAGTGTGTGTGGCTATGGGGATTTCTTTGAGTTTATTCTGTGTCGGGTTCTTTTTGAATCTGTTAAGTTTTCGTCTTTTTCTGTACTTAGGACCTTTTCAGCTACTCTTTCTTCAAATTGTTTTCAAGCACTCTGTCCTTATGGGATTCGGATAACAACTTAGGATATCTCCTGATTGTCCCACAGGTTCCTGAGGCTCTGTTCAGTTTTTTTTTTTTTTTTAAAGATTTTATTTATTTATTTGACAGAAGGAGAGAGAAAGAGATCAAAGTAGGCAGAGAGGCAGGCAGAGAGAGAGGAGGAGGCAGGCTCCCCGCCGAGCAGAGAGCCCAATGCGGGGCTCGATCCCAGGATCCTGAGATCACGACCTGAGCTGAAGGCAGAGGCTTAATCCACTGAGCCACCCAGGCGCCCCCTCTGTTCAGTTTTTAATCGAACTTTTTCCTTTCATTGTTCAGGTTGGATAATTCCCATTAGCCTCTTGTCAAGTTTACTTTTTCCCCTGTCATCTCCAATCTGCTTTCGAGCCCATACAGGGTGTTTTTATTTTTTGTTTTTTTTTTCTTTTAAATTTCAGTTACTGCATTTTTTAGTTCTAGAGTTTCCTTTTGGTTCTTTTTTATATCTTCTGGGTTCTTTGCGGAGACCCCATATTTTCCATTTGTGTCGAGAGTTTGTGTGATTGCTGGCTTGCTGGGAGTCTTTCTGGAATTAGCTGCTTTAACGTCTCCGTCACGTAATTCCAACATCTGTCCTATTTTGGCAGTGTTATCTGTCGATTATCCCTTCCCTTGAGATTTTCCTGATTTTTTCACAAAGAAGTAATTTTGGATTATATTCTGGATGTTTCGATGATTATGTATGACACTCTGGGTTTTGTTTCAAGCCTACAGTGTGTTGATATTTTTGTTTTACTAAGCAAATGACCCTATGGGTCAGGCCACAAATTCCTAACAGCCCCTCTGTGGATAGCGGTTTCAATTGTTTTCAAGCTGTTTTTGCAGTGTTGTTTGGATCTGTGTTGCCTCTGCACCCCCTCCAGTCAGTCTGGGACCTGGACGGTGGTCTGTGAGTTTGGTTCTCAAAGTCTTGGGTGTGCCAGTTAGGACCAGACCCATGCACGTGCCACCTGGGGATCTGCCTAAAAGTTCATAAATAACTTTATGGAGTTGCTTTTCCAAGGTCCTCCTGCTCCACTGTCTCTCTGATCCTTTCCAGTTACATGGGACTCTGATGGGAGAGGGAGGGAATAGGAAACCTACCACCACTTCAGTGATAGTTTGAATTTTGTTCTTCCCCAGTTGGGCTGCTCTGGTTTACCTTTCAGAACCTAAAAGAGCTGCCGTGTTTGTCTGCATATTTGGCTAGGCTTTTATTCCAGCTGCATTCAGGGGGAGAGCCAGGGCAGATGTTGTGACTGCTTTTGACCTGGAATGGGAACCTCTCACAAGTCAGTCTGAGCATCACAAGGAAAGAGACAGCTGACGTTGTTTGCCTTTGGACGTGAGCCAGCAGGAGCACACGTCATCACTGTGAGCTATTTCTGCCTCTGCTTCCAGCCTGAATCTGATTGAGCCTCTAAATCTGTCCTAGTCAGTTCTGGCTGCCATGATAGACGGCCATGGATTAGGTGACTTTAACAGAAACTTATTTCTCATTGTCCTGGAAGACCTACATGCAGGGTTCCCTCATGGCTGGGTTCTTGGTGTGGGCCCTCCCTGGGCCTTCCTTGCTCATGCACGCACAGAGAAATCCCTTGGCTGCTCCTCTCAGAGAGCACCTCTCTGAGAGCACCACCTTCATGACCTCATCTTACCCTAATCTATTCCCAAAGCCCTCCCCCCGCAAGGCCATCCCATTTATTAGGGGTTCGGGTTCCAGCATATGGACTCTGGGGGACAGAGCATGCACTCTGAACACCATCCATTAATTCACAGGAAATTCAGGGACAGGGGAACATGTTGGTGGCCCCACGGGGGACAGACTGCCAGATCTACAATGTGGGAGATTTTTCAGGGCTCCCATTTCATCCAGTAATGCATTCTAAGAAAAATTAGAGGAAGAGGGAACCTACAGACTGAAGGGGACTGAGAGACAGATCCGTCAAATGCATCTTGTTTCAGTCTCTACTCCAACAAATCAACTGTTAAAAAAAAAATTAAGTTAATTGACAAAATGTAAATTGTGGTTGTGTATTTGATGATATTAAGGCATTATTGTTAGTTTCTAAAGTGTGAGAATGATTTTTCTTTGAGAGAAAAAGTGGGGGGAATGTGTGTGCATGAGCAGAGAGAGGGATGGAGGAAGAGAATCTCAAGCAGATGCCACGCTGAGTGCAGAGCCTGATGCAGGGCTCAATCCCAGGACCCCTAGATCATGATCTAAGCCACCAAACAAAGAGTCAGATTATTAACCGACTGAGCCACCTGGTACCCTGATATTCTGTTCATTATTTTTAAAAAGTCCTTATATATGAGGACGTGTGTCTGTGTGTGTGTGTGTGTGTATACACATGTGTATATGTATATATGTAATATCTAATGCCATATTAGATATTTATAATAATAAATATAATAATGTATATAAGGAAGAAATCAGAATGAGGGGTAGTGGATGGGGGGTAGAACTGAAATAAAATTGTCAGTGAGTTGATAATTTTTAAAGCCAGGTGATCAGAACATGGGGGTTCACTATGCCAGTTTCTCTTTTTGGATATTTGAAATTTTCTGTAATAAAATAGTAAAAAGAAATAAAGATAAAGGAGAGGTTTTGTTGGGTTATGTCTTGGCTTTTCGTATGTAATAGGAGAGTCTTTTGTTTTTTTTTAAGATTTTCTTTATTTATTTGAGAGAAAGAGAGAGAGAGAGAGCACAAGCATGGGGAGAGGCAGAGAGAGAAGCAAAGCTCCCTGCTGAGCAGGGAGCCTGACGCAGGACTCGATCCCAGGATCCTGGGATCATGATCTGAGCCGAAGGCAGACATTTAACCTACTGAGCCACCTAGGTGTCCCGAGAGTCCCATTTTTAAAGAACTTTGTTTCTGTGGACCTGTTTTCCCACCTTTTACATTCCTTTGACTCAGGAGTGAAGAACCAGGATTTCCTCTTAGATGCTCAGAGTGCTGAGATTTACCTTTTTGTAAATTTCGCTATTTGTCCTCCCTCCCTTGGTTGTGTTCGGCCCCTTCTTCTCCCCTGGTGCTCAGACATCCTTGGCTGGAGGTGGGAT